TCATTCCAAAAGATCATTTTTCCATTCCATTCTTCAATCTTTGATAATTAATCCTAAACAAACATTCCCAAATCAATCCATGAACATTTCAATTTATCAAAATCAAACCACTAAATTTTGAATCCTTACACTTTAGTCATTGACCTGGTGTTTGGGATATTACAATTCTCCCTCTTAAGAAAATTCATCCTCGGATTTTCACTACATAAAAAGATGAGGAACTTTTCTTCTCATGTCCTCTTCACTCTCTCATGTCACCTCTTCTTCTATGTGATATCTCCAATGAACTTTAACTAACGAAATCGGCTTATTCCTTAGTTATTTAGCTTCATGCGCTAAAATCTGCACTAGTACTTCCTCATAGGTTAAGTCAGATTGGACCTCTATCTCTTCCGATGCTATGATGTGAGAAGGACTTGATCTATATCTTCTAAGTATCGAATCATGAAAACATTATGAGTCTTGAATAATCCTCACTTTTTCTTCAACTTCTTTGATTAGATTTGGCCCCACTATGTATAATTATTTCAATTCAAACTAATTTAATGGTGTCCTACACTTTTTTTCCATATAAAATTTCATATGGAATTATCTTGATATTTTACTTTAACTCGCTAACATGTCAACCATTTAAAACAAACTTGATGATAACTCTTTTCATACCTACTTTTAAGCTATTTCATCGTAAAATAAACATTAATCAGACTTAAAGTCTTTAGTTCTCTTTAACTACTTATTCTATGCTTGATAAGCATGAAATTTTCATCTTTTCTCTTAAATCCTTTATTCGATCCAACAACAAATGCTTTAATTTAATTATACAATCAAAACACCATCTTACTTTAAAGAAATCACTTATTCAAAACTCTTAAAGTAGAAATGTCTTTCGGCTTTGTCGAAACAACCACCACACTAACCTTTCATGTTTGCATATGATAAACATGTCATCAATCTCCAAGGAATTCAATTCATTTCCTTTTTTTCTCTCATTCGATACAACACATACTTTTGACTTTTGAGATTCGTATAGATATAATGTCATTCACCATGTAGATAGTGGTGTTCTATTAACAAAGTAACCACAATCATTGTAAATTTGAGATCGCGAGTCAGATGATTTCTTCCATAATTCTTTAATTGCTTTACAGCATAACCAAAACCTTTCCTCTTTTACAATACACATCCCAAACCATTATAAGACGCATTAATATAATTCACATAGTCCTTTCCAGGTTCTAATTATACTGAACTTGGAGCTTATGTCAATATTCTTTTTAACATCTCAAAATTTTATTGGCATTTAATAGTCCAAATAAATAACATGTTTATCCTCAATAAATCGGTCAGAGGGAAAATAATCATTGGAAAATTCTTTATCAACCTTCGATAACAACCAATAAATCCCAAGAACTTTGAAATTCAAAAACATTCTTTGGAATCTATCATTCGACTATATTTTGTGTTTTCTTGATATATATATATATCCTTATCCCCTTAGCTGAGTCTATATGGCCAAATAATATCACCTTAGACAGTCCACATTCACACTTGATCAACTTAGCATGAAATTTTTCTTTCACTCCTTTAATCTTAATCACAAACGCCTTTAGTATAACTTTTAAAATCTGAATAATCTGCTTGGACTAACTATCTGTCTGTATATGGAAAATAATGCTAAAGTTAACTCGAGTTCCTAAGGCCTTGTTCAAAGACTTCCAAACTTTGAAGTAAACCCTAGATCTTTATTAGATACTATTAAGACATATACTTCATGCAGTCAAACAACTTTTTTTATATACATATATAACCCAACGTAATTATCCATAGAATAGTCATCTCAAACTGTAATAAATTGTACTGACTTAACCAATCTACCCACAATCATCCAAATTGAGTCCTTTTTACTGGGTGTTAAAGGCAAACCTGATACAAAGTTTATAGTAACTCTTTTCCTCATTTCCACTGAGAACTGAAAATTGTTTACTTTCATTTCAAATATATTTATTCCCTTAATTTCAATTTACCATCATGCCAAGTTTATAAGTTATACTTGTTTATAACCCTTGTCATACTTGGTCCTCCAAACCATTCATTTTAATTTCTTATTTCATTACTACCTTTGAACATATCCTATAAATCTTAATTTTTTCCTCATTTTCCTGTTCTATCCATAACATGTACATTTATATTCTTCCTTTGTTTAACAAAATAAACTCTAACTTTACCCCTGCATTCATTGTGTTGTCTTCTTCTTTCAAATAAAAATCGACATAACATAACAATTTCGACAACTCTCTTATAATCCTTAGAAAGTCCTATCCTTACTCTTTATTTTGATTTACACCTCTTAATTTGGCCAACACTTCCGTTTTCCTTCTTTAATAAAAAGCTTCCTGATAACATATGTCATCTATTTTTCTTCTTACACCAATACCCTTCTCATACTACTTGTAATAATTATTTATTGCAAATTTTATTGCACTTTTCTAACTTTGGTAGTCTACACTACTAGTAAAGAACAATATTCTTTACTATTCCTTATACTTAAAATTTCTCCACTTGATCCATCAGAAAATAAATTCAAATAAGTATATACATATATAAAGTACTTTTTCCCATTCAACTTGTACAATTTTTGACGGATTTTCCAATCATGTTTACCAAATTTTACTTTGAACAAGACTTGCTATTCTAATTCCTGACTTATAAAAAATTTCCTATCTACACACATATTTCGAAATAATTTTTCTCTTACTTCAAATGAAACTTGCTTGATTTTTCCTCTTTACAACTTTAGAATCATTTTCAAATATCCTCTGTAACATTGCAATTACTTCTCCAACTTACTTCCCAAACTATCAATTTCCAACTAATTTTATTATTACATACCTTGTATTTCCTTGTTTCTTACTAATCCAATTAAATATTGCCTCATTTAATAATAACTTGATTAGTGGAGAGGGGTCATTGAGAGTTTCCAAAAGATTTCGAATTCAGAATAACTTTTCAAAATTCTACTAAATCACTACTCATACATATACTATACTTTTTATAGTTCCACCATTATCTTCCTTCGAAAAGTTTAAACCACTAATCAAAATTCTACTTCATGTCTTTCTTTTATCTTAATCAAATCAAAATATCATTCAGAAAATACAATTATCGTTGACTTTCACGTACGATTGGGAATTCGATTCCATAACACATAAATATTAACGAAACCTAGTTCAACTTCAAAATATTTCGTCAAACTAGCATTTATTTCTTCAAATTCTAATATTCGATCGAAAATTAAAAAGAAATGCTTCTACACTTTTAACTATGAAGCTAGTCAATCCTTATTAAATGATTCTTATCAATACGAATCGTTTTTGCATTCTAATCGTGGAAGTTAATCGTTCGCGATTTTTTCCTATAAAATCTTTCCTTTTCTCAACTCTATTTTTCAATCATCACAATCTTATAAACTTTTATAGTCTTTCTGAATCGTTAACTTTGAACAACTATCTATAAGGGCTAAACAACAAAAATATCTAGTATGTAATTGAACTTATTCTAAATCCTCAATAATGACTTATACACTATTTATCATTGCCTTTATGGCCTAAAAACATTTAACCATCACTCTATATTTGAAATCAATTCTAATTCAAAATTCCTCATCTTCACCCTGTGGCACCTGTTCTTCACTTTACCTAGCTGAGTAAGTGAATTGTTACTACGTCATTAACTCCATCTACAGCTTTACTTCGGGAGCCTTTGTAGTCTGACATCTATTAATATATAATCACCTAACTATACTAGCAAAGAAAACATACTCATTACAATATCATATTAGATATTCTTGTTATTTCGTTGGAATGTACAAACCAGACATCTTTGATAGTCGATCGACCAGTCTATTTAGAAAACTTGACTCAACCTAAACTTTGATACCAACAAATGAACACCCCTGACTCGGACTCAACCTGGATACGAATATGAGGTGTCACATTGACTTTTTAACGCTTTAACTCTTTGAAAATCTGACTAAAATTGACAATAAAAAATACTGAGTATTTTTACATAACTTTAATAAAACGTAGTTACAAAAAACATATCAGAGCCTTTGCTATTTACACATTTATATTACATGCCAACAAAATTTCAAACAACAAAATTCGCATACTATTCAAATAATTCTGATATGATATTCTTCAAATATATATTGTCCCGCCTTTGCTTCCTCTACTTACTCCTCTGAATCTACATGTGAAAACACTCACATGCTAAGTCTTTGACTTAGTAAAGTATAAATGAGTATAATAAAACATTTATGTAAATATTTCATAAGAAACGTTAAAAACATAAACACAATACATTTTATAAATTATAACATATACTATTAAACATTGTTGGGATAATTACCCCAATCGTACATGAACTATACCTTATTCTCATTTCATACATAATGTTTAAAAATTATCGATTTCATACATATGTTTTTTCCATTAACGGATTCACCCACTTCCGTCACGGAAAGTGACATGGAACCCTACAACAACGACAAGTGACACTTTAAAAATATGTTTTTTTTTATTTTTTAGGTAAATTACACCATTCATCACTCTTATTTTAGTCAGTAAAGTTTAAATATTTTTAATTTAATTATTAAACTATAGAATTACTCTTATTTTAATAATTCAAATTTATTTTATCAATAATATTATGAGATGACAATTTATTAATAACTCAAATTTCTTTTATTAATATTTTATTAATAACTTAAATTTATTTTATTAATTTTTTATTAAATTCTAATCCCAATTCCAAACATAATTGATCACTCTTAAACCCCAAACTATCCATTGCACACCCATAAACCCAAATCTCCTACTGCGCTTTATGGTTTTAGAATCAAATATGGAGCGAAAAAAAATTTTACTAACCGTAGACAATCCAATATGAAGAAACTATTTCGATTTAAGTAATCGAATTCCATGGGCAAATGACAGAACCACAAATCCACTACAATTCTATCGATTTACATTAAAAATTTGCAGAGAAAGCAAACACAATAAGGTGAACAAAAACATAGATCTCCAATTCTAGACATTAAAAACTGAGAAACAAACAAATCTAAGCCCTCTCACCTCTAATCCTCCTAGCAAGCTGGATATCATTGGGCATAATCGTAACCCTCTTAGCATGAATGACACATAAGTTAGTATCCTAAAACAGTCCGACGAGATAAGCCTCGGAAACTTCTTGAAGAGCGGCGACGACGTTGCTTTGAAACCTCAAATCGGTCTTGAAATCTTGAGCGATTTCCCTCACAAGCCTCTGGAACAGAAGCTTTCGGATCAAGAGCTCAGTGCTCTTCTGGTATTTCCTGATTTCCCTTAGAGCCACAGTTCCTGGTCTGAAACGGTGAAACTTCTTCACTCCTCCGATCACTGGAGCCGACTTCCTAGCCACCTCCGTGGCTAGCTGCTTGCGTGGAGCACTAACGCCAACAGCTTCCAAGCGCTTCCTCGTCAGTATCACAGGCATGTAAACAAAACAAAGAGAGATGTAAATAAAAATTCAGATTGTAAAATCCTGTAAGCTTTCGTTTACATGGATGATTATAAAATAGCAAAAAAATCATGTAAAAGGAACCCTTACATTTCTTTTCGACAGAGAATAATACAAGGATTTTCACCATTTTTCTTTGAAATCAGAGGCAACACAAAATCTCATTTGTTTTTTAAATGTATTTTTTAGATATGGTTTAGAATTAAAAGATATCAATTTTTATTTTGATTATTTAAACAAAAGCACAATAGAGTGAAAAGAGTAAGGGTTTTGAGGGTTTACCTGCACAGCGTTGAGATTCGTGTGTGAGGTCCCTTTATTTTTTAGTGACCATCAAGGGAGCAGTCGAGAGGTTAGATGCTTGCATGTCATTTTTAGGTTCCGTCTCGAGTGTGTAGGGGGTATTCTTGTGCTCTTTAAGCTTTCGGAATAATTGGAATGCCAAGAGTCGAGGGTACTCTAGGTTTCAATTGGAAAGAAAAGAGGAGTTTAGATCAGATTTTGAAGTGTTGTTTGTTTTAGGACCGTTTAGGGCCATCATCAGTAGGTGTAGTCGACAATCGAAGCAAGAGACGCCATCCATGATTGGTGGCCGGTGGCGTTAGTGATCATATGAGCCTTTGAACGTGAGAAAGAAGATGGGTTTGGGAGAAAAAGGGGGGACGAACGTTTTCTCTGGTTAAGAGTTAGTATAGTTTAATAATTAAATTAATAAATTTAAACTTTAGTGACTAAAATAAAAGTGAGAAGATAGTCGAGTGATGTGTATAATTTACCCAAAAAAATAAAAACATGTTTTTTTAAAGTGTCACGTATCATTTTATTAGTGGTCGTAAGTTTCCACGTCACTTTCCGTAACAGAAGTTGATGAATCCGTTAAAGACAAAATAATCATGTATGAAATCGAAAATATTTAAACCTTATGTATGAAACTAAGAATCATGTATAATTCATGTATTAATGGGGTAATTAACCCAACATTGTTTGATTCATATCCATTTGTTTTAATTAGCCTAACGTATATCACTGAGAACTCAAGGTATGTGAGTACTTTGAGGTTGTGCACTATAATTGCAGTCGAAACTGCCGCGTAGAATTTGCATTGAAGTGCCACGTAGAATAAGCATCGAAGTGTCACATAGATTTGTCCTGAAGGACCGCGTAGAATTGTTCCGAAGGACCACATAGAATTGTCTCGAAGGACCGCGTAGAACCCTCGACTCTTGGCATTCCAATTATACCTCTAATTCTCATAGCACATACTTTGGGCTTTAACCATTTAATTATTTCACATAGTATTATTCAATTTATCATTTGTTCACATAAAACATGTACTCATATTATTTCACATAGCATTATCTAAATTTATTATTTATTCACATAGAACAATTACTCATAGGATTTTATATCGCATTACTCAATTTATCATTTATTCACATAGAACATATACTCATAGTTTTTCATATAGCATTATTCAAATTATCATTTATTCCCATAGAACATATTCACATAAATCATATACTTATAGTATTTCATATAGAATATATACTCATAGAAAAGAAATCAAAACAGTGCTTTTAAAATGCAATTTAGCTAAACCATAACATAATACAAATAATTTTGTCCAAAAACATTTGAGGTTAGCTCATCGTAAGCCTTCCTCCAATCGTGTATAAATTAAGTAAGTAACACTCACCTTTGCCTCACTTAAGTTCTTAAGCAACTCCTTTTGACTTTCACTTTATCTTTATACATCAATTCGTTCAGCACCTCCTTTCAATCGAATCAACACGTTAACATGACCACGATGAATATCGGAGCTCAATTAATTGTTAACCAATCAACATTTACATAACTAAATAAAACACAAAATTCATAGTTTGAGACTGAACAATATCGATACTCTACACCCAATACCGATACTTCCCTTCTATGGTATCGATACCTACCTTAGTATTGATATCCAAATTGCATTATGGAATTTCATATTTAATTACAGTATTGATACCATACTATTGGTATCGATACTACCTCTTCAGTATCGATGTTGTTCATCTAATTCATATGGTATTGATGTTGTTCTTCCAGTACCGATACTCTTGCCCATATTTCACTTATATTACTTCGAATTTAACCCAATATTCACCTAAATCTCATACTTCTAACTCTATTCATGCCCTTAAACTCATTTACACTTATTCCAACAGACTTACATCAATTAAAATCCCTTTAACATCTAAAATTCTACATAGAACACTTAAAACTAAAAATCATACCTAAACTTCAACATTGTTCCCAATCCTTTCTAACACTTCAAACATCTTATTTATACCTTTGACAAGTCAAATATACCTTTAAAATCCAATTACTAACCAAATTTCATCAACTCCCTTGAAAACCCATTTTACAAATTATCATTAACTCATCAATCTCATAGTTTTTAGTCATCTTTAAGCTTTCTTAAGCTTCTATACTATCCAAAGATCCAAAACCAATTCAAAATCTAAAGAAACAACCAACTTCAAGAATATTTACCTTAGCAATGGAGCTCACGGTGGAAGATGAGAAAAAAATATGAAGAGAAGAGTTTTAGGCCTTTCTTTCCTTTTCCTCACATGATATATAACCTTAAAATGAATTTTAAATTCATTTCATGCCAAAAGATTATTTTTCCCTTCCATCCTTCAATCTTTGATAATTAATCTTAAACAAACATTCCCAAATCAATCCTTGAATATTATCAAAATCAAACCACTAAATTTTGAATCCTTACACTTTAGTCATTGACCCGGTGTTTGGGATATTACAATATGCCATCAGCCCAAAATAACTTCTCTAAGGTTCCAAATTCATCCCTCATGTGGCTCAAAAAAAACAAAAGGATCAAATTCTTGCTTCCCATTTAAATACGCAATCACCGTTTCAATATCACCATCTTGCACTTTTTCTCGTTTGAATCTAGATAGATAGTTGTACAAATCCTTCGGAAGAAATCCAACATTCTCAATTGAGCCATCTTCAGTCACGAAATTTCGCATCATCTTACTTGGACCAATTCCAGAGTTGTGCATGCTCTTAATCTTAACTTGGTCTAACACACTAATTCTTCGGAATGACCTACAAAATGAAGCATTAAATAACATTATATATATATATATATATATAGAAGTTGGGTAAACATTTAGTTTTGGATACAAAACATACCTGATGTAAGCAACTTGTGTTGGCTGAACCATTTCATGGTTATGTTCTGCATGAAATTTATCAACTTTTCAATATTGATACCATTCATCCAATTTAAATCTAATAAATGCTTCACATCCAACTCGGACGATCGTTCGTTGTTATCAATTTCTATTTAGATTGTTATTCCACCTATCATCTCTACATCCCTCCTTGCGTCAAACCATTTTCTTTACAATTATGTAACCACCATTTCGACTTTTCACTGTCTGACCGACTCGAACTCCAAACTTTTTTACCTTGGCATAGGTATGATAAAATTCAACGCAATCATCTAAAGTCTTCCACTTCAGCATATTCATATCATTCTCATTGTAATCTTTTAATTCCTTCTCAATCTTATCCCATATTTTTTCGTCAATAAAGTTGTCAATTGTCTTCTCATCAGCTATATGTTTGTCATCATCAATATGATCATCAATTTGTTCTTCTTCAGTATGGGTGTTACAATCGAATTCACTGTCCAATTTGTAACTTGAATTTTGGTTTCTTCATTAGCAGCCATCTCGAAAAAATCTGTATTTTCATAAACATAAACAAAATGAACATTAATAAGATGGTAAATGACAGTATGATTGAAATAACATAGCACAAAGCACGAAATAGACACCCGTACCGATACTCCTATATGGAGTACCGATACACGTATTCAATATCAAAACAGTATACATATATCATAGCAGTACGCATAGGGTACCGATATTGGCATACACGTATATTGATACGAATGAACCAATATACTGGTACGGACGATGGGATAACAATTGGGAAATCAGTATTGGATTTACCAAATACTGCTCAAACGTAAAAATTAGGCTTCGATTGTTCTAATTTGAGTTGTAATTTAGTAAATATGATACTTAATTCGATTATTAGGGTTTTTAAGTACACTAATTGAGGAATTCAGGTTAGGGATCATTAATAAAACTTATTTTAGGGGTTGGTTTCACTAGTGACGACGACGACAACGACAATGACAACAGTGACGTCGGTGGTAGTGACAGTGACGACGACAACAATGACGGCGACGGTGACTTAAAAGATATTAAAATAAACTAAGGTTTATAAATTTTCCAAATTTATATTTGAAATAATTTGATTAAAATAAAATTTATAAAAAGTTATTTTTTAGAATTATTGTATTTTAATTAAATTACACTTTAATTTTTAACTAAATTATAATTATACTTTAAGTACTCTATGATTTAACGATTTTATAATTTAATTTTATGGTACTCATCATTTACCGAGCTCGTCAAATATCATCGAGCGTACCAACTCATCATAATCTAGAAATACATCAAATAGGCCAGTATAATTTTTTGAAATAATTTATATAAATTATATTCTGATTTTTTTTTTAAATTTTTGGGTATAGGGTGGGCCATCGTCTAGGTTCCACCCCTAAATACACTCCTGTATATTAGCTTACTAATACATGAATTTATCACGTCAATTAAATTAACAACTACGTCAATACATTAGCGATCAAATATGAATTACATATGTCAAATAATATATATATATATATATATTTTAAATTTCATGAATTAATTTGATTTTTTCTATAAAAAAACAAAAGCTCTTTTGCCACTTAATAAGAAAAAAGTAATAGAGACCATTTAAGTGGAAAGCATGTTCGTCTCAAATGTTGTGTTATATTTTAAAATGATATCCTTAAAATATTTTATAATAAAGATAATTTTTTAAATTTGAAATTATGAGGATCTATGATGTCTTTTTATCAAAATTCATCTTAAAAACGAATAAAGATACTGTCAAAATCTTCATTTACAATTTCCTCTATCATTTTCCCAAGAACTGAACGAAAAATTTGTTTTCCCTTAGAATGAAAATGTTGTTAGGGAACAAGTATTATACATGGAAGAGCTTAAATGACATTCATGTGTGTCCCCTAAATTTTAGGGCCTTGTGATGGATCACATGCCACACTTGGTATTAATGGTCTGGTGGTAAGCAACTTGATATCGTTTAAGTATATTTTCAGTTTGATACCTTGTGTGTGCAGAAAATCCTCGTTAAAATATTTACTTACCAGAATTAAGTGTACGACATCAACCGATTTATATTAATCAGGACAAAACAACAAAGAATCGAGAGGACAAGTAAAAGAAAGTAGTATAGGTTGGAATAATATATGCTTCACTTATCACCTCGGAACACAAATAATATCAAGAAGGCATAATTTCGTTCCAAATTGATAAGATTAAAAACAAAAGATTCCCTTTTCTTCGCGAGGCAAAAAATTACTCTCCACTAGGAAAATTTATTCTATTTCAGTTTGTGTAAATTGTAAAATTATTTTTATATTTATTTGATATTTTGAATTTTTCATATTGATTTAAATAATAGTTATTAAATTTATTAAGTCAAATTATGTTAGTATTATATGTAAATTGTATATTTACTTTTTACTCTTTAATTTGATAACTTTTAGTTGTTATATAATTTAAAATTTCAATTTAATTTCAAAATATTTTTTTATGTATTGAGATTTAAACATTCGTCTCAATATAGTTTATAATAAGATCAAATATTTTGGTTAATTTTACTCATTTAAAATGATAATATAAAATATTCAGAGTTAATTGCACTATATGTCCCCAAATTATGATTCTCATTTAAAATTGGTCCCTAAACTTTTAAATATTCCAATTTCATCCTCAAATTATGATCCTCATTCTATATTGATCCCCAAACTTTTAAATCTTCCATCATTCCTAAATTCATCAAAATATGTAATTAATTTTAACCATAATTTAACCTAAATTACTTTTTTCAAACATATAATAATATAGCTTGGCCTAAAGATTTTATTAACATGGAACATAATTAGTATATACATATAATTTGAGATGAAATTGAAATGTTGAAAAAGTTTGGGGACCAATTTGGAATAAAGGATATAGTTTGGGGATTAAATTAAAATGTTAAAAAGTTTAAGGATAAATTTCTTTATACAACATTTAAATTAATCTTTATAAGGTGTCAATCGAAATACGATAATGTTGAAGTATAATAAGAGAGATGATAATCGTGAACATCAATAACGTTTAATCTTTATAGTTGAGACGGAGATTCATTGTTGATGATAATAAATATGATTTAGTCTCGAATCAAAAAGAAGAAGGAGAGTAAAACAATTAAGTCACCTCATTTCGGTAAAGGAGAGAAATTCCTTGCATATTTTGTGCCTATGATGTCATATGAGATAAGTAGACGAGTGAATTGCAAAACATAACCTATAAATTCGTTTGAATCATTAAACATGTCACATTAATTTGTTAGTCGTTCAATTTATTTGATTGTGAGTTTGACTAAATAAATTTAGTTGTATCATTTATCGATTATTTGACAAATTAGTGAATGGTAAAGAAGAGTGAATTGCAAAACATAACCTATAAATTCGTGATTACAACGACGAAGGTTTGCACAACATTTCTAAGAGCTTTCATTATCGAAACAAAAGAAAGTACAATGGAAAATTTAATCCGACACTACCAAGCTGCTGCACAACATTGCTAAGAGCTTGAGAGTTGGGATGCTTGACAAACATACCCTCTGCCATAGTTGTTAGTAGTCTGAATTTGATGACAATTTCCGGTATCGGGCTGTTGAACGACAGTGACGGCTTGCGGTCCTTGATAGACGTATTGGTTCGATATCAACATCTTCGGGGCACACCGGTGAATGGCCGCATCTCTGGCCTGCCGGCCATGTGTTGACGGAAAGCCTTCGGGTGCCGAAGCAAGCTTGATCAGATGAGCTATTGAACATGCCATGGAGCTTTGGTGTTCAATTTTTCTTGCATGTATGTTGAGGGTAGCCATTTCGATATTTATGTAGGAAGTTTAGGGATTAGGATATCTAGTGGAAACCCTTTAATTTCCCATTTTGCCCTCATAATTTAGATAAACGAATAAAAAATCAAGGAATTTTGATAGGAGAAAAAAGGAAATGAAAAAGAAGAGGTCATTCGTCTATTAACTTTCTTTGATTCCATTGTTGATTAAGATGAAATTGAAAGGCCTAATCAATTAAAGTTGAAATGTCTAATCATTTTACTTTTTCTTTGGTAATAGTATCTTCAAATTAAATCAAATATGATACTTTGGTAACAGTGTTTCTTTTGAACAATTAAACATTTAAATATTTTAATTTCATCCCTAAACTATGATTATCATTCTAGATTAGTCCTAAACTTTTAAACATTTCAATTTCATCCCAAATTATATGTATATACTAATCACATCTATTGTTAATAATATCGTTACGCCATGTTATATTTTATATGTTTGAAAAAAATAAAATTTGGATTAAACTATGGTTGAAACTAATTACATATTTTGATGAATTTGGAGATGAGATTTGGATCAATTTAGAGTGAGAGTCATAGTCATAGTTTAGGGATGAAATTAGAATGTTCAAAAGTTTAAGGATTAATTTAGAACGAGAATAATAATTTGGGGATGAAATTGAAATGTTTAAAAAATTAAGGATCAATTTGAAATAAGGGTCATACTTTGGGCACATATGATACAATTAACTCTAAAATTAATTTTTAAATATAATTAAGTTATGAGAAAATTTTACGTTATTGAACGTGCCCCATATTTAAAATTTATTTTGAGTTTGGGTAATATAATTGGGTTAAGAAAGATTTTCCATATATGTTTATGGTAAATGGAGAATAAACAAATCTTATGTTGGTGTCAAATTAATCAGATTTCTTTTGGGAAAAGAGTTGGCCTTTCTGAACACTATCTTTTTGGCATAAAAACATTATCTTTTTTCTCGGCAAATATGATTTAATATATATATTATATGGTCGAAGATTGCATACCTTGGTTGAAGTCCCGAAGAAAAATGAGTGCGATTTATTATTTACATTAAGGCGGGTGTTTACAAGGAGAATGTCAATGTCACCAAGGCCATGGACAATGTTATGTTCATCGGAGAAGGTCCGACCAAGACTATCAATACCGGTCACCTGAGCAGCCAATTTGATAAGATTACCACGTTCCACACTCCAACTGTTGGTAAGTAGTACTATGATATTGTTATATCTCTAAAAAAAATCACAAGAGAATACTAAATTTCCACCTATAAAGATTTCGAAGAATCTACTTATTGAGTGGAGTCTTCAAAAGTTCTTTTGAGATATCATGTCAACCTCGAAATTAACTATGTTGGAGGGTCGTCGGGAGCCCAAACTCCTTAACTATTGACATTACTTTAATAACCAAACCTGATGGTTGATTGTCGTATATCTATTAGCCTACTAATAGGTAAGTTAATCCTAAGTTTGATACCAATCATCTTACGGTCAGAATATCTATACTCGAGAAACTGAAAAATAATACTTCTCTCCAAATTCTCACCTAAAAAACTATTTTCTCAATGTCACCTTCATTTTTGAACATGAAGTCATCAGTTAACAATTAATCTTTCATACTCTCCTCTAAATCAGAAAGAATGAACCTTTAATCACCAACAAGACCAAATATATTTATATATATTTTGTACGCATATATATCTCGTTTAGTACTGATATGTGCGTTTTATTTTTGGTAGCTGTGAATGGGAAACATTTCGTAGCAAAGAACATTGGATTCGAAAATACTGTCGACAATGTTGTTATATTATAAATATTAATAGGTACATCAATGACGATAATAATAAATGATAAAACAATGGCCTTAGGTTTGTTGCCAGTTTAGAGCCCAGGGATCATGTCGGTAATGATGGGAACTCCAGTTTCCGGAATCCAGTCATCGGAATCGAGGTATACGCCGGGGGCGAATTTCTTTATCTCAGTCGCATCGAGTGTCTTGATACCCTCCCATTTGACCCTGCCGTCGGTTTTAGCGCCAGGTCCCCTGTTGCCGAACTCGACGTAGTACGAGGTAGCCAGGCCGTCATTGCCATTCATCGGGATGTACCCCTCCGGTTGGATGATGTCGTCGATCTGTGATTGCATTATGATAACAGTCGCAAGATGCCTCCATGGTCTGTTGAGGTACGACTTGTTCTTGTCCTTCACTGGGAGGTAGTCCTTATCGCCGGAGAAGGTGCAATTTTGGAACACGAAGCCGCCTTTTGACTCTAAGCTTTCCTTCCCCTCTGCAACGATGACGCAGTTTTGGTTGTCCAGCGGCTTCCTGACGATAAGTTGACAGTTTTGGAACACGGCCCTAGCGTCGCCAAAGATAAAGTCTATGGTTCCGGTGATGACACAGTCGCGGTAGAATTGCCGGTCCTCGTGGGCGTAAAGGGTGTCTTGGTACCCGTTGAAATGGCAGTTATAGAAGGCGGCCATATCACCGGAGCCCCTGAAGGCGACCGCTTGATGACCCACCGGTCCGATGGAGTTCTCGAAAGCGATGTCCTTGGCTATGAAGTTCAAGCCAGCCACAGCTACAAAAATCAAACAAAGTCGAAATTAGAGATTAGTGATAAAAATGAATATTGTTTATGGATTTACGAATACGTTGTCATATGTCAAAGAAAATTTCTTGAACTTACCAACCGTTGCAGTGCGGAATGTCGAAGGTTTCGGCAGTGTCTTTTCGACGCTGACACTACCGGTGATGACAGTCTTGGTCGGACCGTCTCCGATGAACATGACGTGGCCAACAGTCTTGGGGATGTCGATCCTCTCCTCGTAAACTCCGGCCTTAATATGGATAACAAATCGTTCAGTATTCTTCTTTGGGACTTCAGCAAGAGCCTTGGCGATGGTATCAAATTTTCCAGTTCCGTCTTTAGCGACGACGACGTTAGGGGTAATCTCAGCAGGTGTTGCCTGCAAGAGTTTCCGGTCACCGTAGCTCATCCATTCAGGGAAATCGCCCGACAAAAGCTTACGATTAAAGGCGGAGGAGATATCAATGTCGTCGATGTTGAATTCTTTCAATATCGACGGTAACCCGTTCAAAATGTTGAGGCCGTTCTTGGTTAACTCCTGTGACTTGGCTATGATCTCCTGCATCTTCTTCGCCGCGTGACTGTCCATCTCGGCGTACGAGTCTACACACGTCTCTTGGCTGGTAAGGGCGCCGCTCAGCCACACCTGGAGGGTCAAGAGAACATCGCCGATCTTAGTCATGTCTTGTTCCCCGAGCTTGTCGAACGATCTCTCAAGGTCCACAACAGCCCAATCGAACAACTCCTGGCAAACACCAAAAGCTGCCTTCGTCTTTTCATCCTTCTGCAAATCTTGCACCGTCTTCGAATTCACCATCACGTTCTTAATCTCCGCCACTGTTGCCTTGAACTCCGCCATTATCAGCGCCTTGGGATCCGTCGTGTTCGAGTTCACCATGCTCTCTTCACACGCTTCTTTAAATTTCGTCGGCTTGCAAATGGACCGTATGGCCTTCTTAGAATTCGTCATCTTCTCTTCCCTCTCCTCAGTCTCATCCTTAAGCTTTTTTGCTTCTTGGAGACCAATAGCAAAATACACGGTAAGCGCCGACGCCACCACCGCCACCAAAAGGACAATGATAAAAAGCACGTTATTCACCATTTTTATTAAAAAAACCTTTTTTTTATCTAATTAAAAAAAACCAAAAAAGAACAAGAAATAAAAATTCTTTTTCCTCCCTTGCTTTCCCTTGAACCTCTATACAACTGCGGAAGAAAGTAGGAAAGAAAGAAGAAGATTTATTGCAGCTGCGTGGGGCTGCTTATTCCTTATTGCTTAAAGCCCCTTGAGCTTTTGTTCTTGCTTGAGTAATCTGCATTTCCATTGCCCTATTTATACTTGAAGGATATCACCATTTTTAGTTTTGGATTCCTTTTCTGTGGTGCAGAGATCCCTGCGGAGGGTGACGATTTGTTGAAAGTTTTTAAAATTTTATGGTGTTTAACTCTTCTTCTTGTTCTAAAATATCGGGAGTATGTTAATGTTAATAGTTCAATTTTTTAATTAGTATTATATAAGATTTCATTTTAAAAAAGATAATTCAATAAATGGATAATATGGTATTTTGAATGAAAGGACTAAATTAAATTAATTAATTATATGAAGGTTGAAGGGCTAAACTGAATGGAAAGACAATCTATCATCTTTGTATGTTAATTTACCCTAGTAATGCGTTAGTCACCAAATAATGAGAGATTATTGTAGTGACATTTTTCTACCATGTCATCAATCCACCTGGATAAAGTCTTGTCAATGTTTTTTTTTTCACATTATTCGTACATAATTTTATTTTTCAAATCAATTTCTTCATTAATACATATAAAAAGTAGAACTAAATTTAGAGATTATTTCTAGGTTCATCATTAATGTTATTTTCTTCTCCAATAACTTATTATAATAATGTCATTCATGTATACGAATAAACTTAGTAATTAGTTGACGTTTCATTTCGATGTTGCAAAAATACTACTCGACTAAAAGGAATTAAATGTAGGAGTTCTTACATGTGGACCAATGAAGATGCGACACGTGAAAATTTGTACTCGTAACCTATACTTTGAGTCCACAATAATCTTATTTTTCAAATTAATTTCTTCATTAATAAATATCAAAATTAAAGGGTTTATTTTTAAGTTCATCATTAAATCTTCTCCAACAACTCATGTCAAAGTTTTGAACATAGTCTAGATTACACCATGAATTTCTATAAAAAAAATATTGGAGATTATCATATTATAACCATGACATTCATGTATACAAATGAACTTAACAATTAGCTGACGGTTCATTTCGATGTTGCGATTGAAAGGAATCAGATGTAGTTCTTGCATATGAAGCAATGAAGATGCGGTACGATATTATGAAAATTTGTTTATCTGAATTTGCTCGTAACCTATACTGAGTCCATTAACTTCACATTATGATGAATTTGTATACGCTATTTGTTTAATGCCAGAGGCGAATTCTGCATACAAAATGAGAGGTATACTGCAAAGTGTACCATTGAAACAAAAGCTACAGAATGTATACAAATCTGTATTTTTTTAACTGCAGTCCAGCATTTTAAGTCCTCACAATGAACTATTTTTTTCCAGTTCAATATCAGGGTCTACAATTCAATGGAAGTCTATGTTCTCCAAATTGTCGCGGCAAAGTCTTCGCTTGTTGCAGTTCATGCGATATAAGGTCTAAAACCACTTTACACTACACTCGAATCCGGCTCGATAATAGATCGTAATCCCCTGTGAACCATCATTTGCGAATAGAATTCAGCATGCTCCTGAAGATTAAGACAAATAACATATTAATTGATCCATTTCCGGTTTCAATCAGGCTTGATCCTAACTGCATCGGAGAATAGGGTAAGCAGACCAACCCAGTCATGTTAGAATTTAGACTCGAACTATTTAAGCTATGCTTAAATGCAAGAGCATTTATATATGTTGCATCCTCAACTCTTGATCACAGACTTCGTATATTCATTTGAGCAATCAGCAAATGCAAAAAGACGTATACCTTTACCGTGACTATCACGGTTGCCACCCCATTTTCACGCGATTCGTGGAATAGTTTTCTTGCATCATCAGGTGTAACGGATGGAACAACTTGGGGCAAAACCTTTGCAACTGCAAGAAAATAACAGACAAGTACAAGATAAAAATAAATATGCATGAAAGAACACAAATTGGTTGAAAAGTTTTAACAACTTAGTTTGCTCCATAAGGTAGTGAATTTCCTCATAACTGGAGCATTAAAACCTGCAAACAGATGAATCAGATATCGGCCTCTAGACTATTTTTTTCCACTTCAAATAACTAGACAGTCCTTGTACTATATTGCATTTTAGTCCTGCACAACGGAGCTGAATAATTTTTCCTCCATGTTTCATACATAGCAGCACTAATTGAAACCATCCAAATACTGATTTTGACTTCTAAAATTTGAAAAAACAAAAACTGTTAATGAAAGCAGCAAAAGAATTTCTATTATTAAAGAACATTGAACCTATACGTTTTCAAATTTAACCTATATTTTTAGTTATGCTTGAAGTTATGTAAATAAATTACCTAATATTTCTGAATGGCGAGCATCGTCAACCAGCAAAACTCTATAACTGTCTCAACTGCCAGTACATTTTCTATCTGTCGAGCGCCCGATATCACCACCTGTTATTGTCAGAATAAACATGGTAAGTGAGTTATCCATCACTGGAAAACTCAAAGAAATTTCAGATGAGTTAGGCCATTAATGGCAGAAAAAGTGTATCAGCATTTGATCCAACTCACACAAACATAAAGAACACTGTCATTCCCATATATAGAAGCATCCATCCACAGCGAATAACTAAAAACTCAATCTTCGTAGGCTTTAATCATCCAAATATACTAAACACTCAGACTCCATATCCCAACAACATAACAACCAAGTAACAATGGTTCAACTTCGCTGGACGGACGTCTATTTTCGAACCTCCGATATGCTAGTCGACATCATTTTGCAATTGATAAACAAGGCAAGAAAGTTGTACAGCTTAAAGGAAACACAGATAAAGCTAAAATTGATGGGAAATTGAAGCAAGAAACGAAAATGGAACCAAGTAATTTATAAAGTAAACACCAAAGACTCAATCATTTCACTTTCACCAATTATAAAGACTCAATCTTTCGTCCCCATCTCTCTTGTCAATCTTCTAAACAATCACTTGATTAAAATAACCATAGTTGTCCATTCCAGAAAATAAACGAAAAAGATTCACATCCAAAATCCAATTTGGAATTTCCCATTTTATAGCTTCAAGAACCAAACTTCAAAAGCTGAAAAGCAAGGAACACGAGAAATCGAACGGACCTTCAAGAACTTGTGTAGAAGGGTCAAACTGGGATTGATCGAAACTGGGTCGTTCCAAAACACCAGCACCACCGGTCTTGAAAGAACCGAACCTGGCTTTCACGCCCGTAAGTTTCGAACCCATTTTCGCTGCCAATGGGTGGTGGGTTCCGTTAGCACCCCAGAGTTTCCCCGTAGTTGGTGCCCAAGGGTTGCACTCAAACTTCACCGTAACAAACGACGACGTCGTTGCAAGTCCTGCAACAACCGCCATAACCAGAAAATTTTGCCTTTCTTCTCTCAACCTTTGCCTTTTCTCCTTCTCGCTAACAGATTGCAACGATAAGTTTGTAAGTAATGAAAAAGGGAACTGGTGCTCAAACAGTTTTGTGAGATATTATTCTTATTTTTTTATTGTGTAAACTCCCCGTTTAGTACCCAACTATCACTTTTATTTCATTTTGATTACCTAATTATTTTTTGTTTCAAAATTATGCCTATCGTTACCTTTTAATTTCATTTTGATCACTTACCGTTAAAAATTTAACAACGATGCTTACTTTATTGATTTAATATATTTTAGTCACTCAATCGTTAACCCTCTCTAATCCCAATAACAAAAGTTTAACTTAACATTTAAAAAATAAAAAAATACTATGTGTTTGTATATTATACATGTTCTTGGATTATATTCATTCTTGAAATGATTCAAAAAATTTAACTTGATAGATCAAATACGAAAATAACTAAGTAATTTTCATTTAACCTTATGCTTTTTTTAGCATTTTAGCCTATAACATTTCATTTTAAGGTAAAAATACTCTATTTTCGAGCGTTAATCGTTTGTTAACTCCACGAAATGGTTTCTTTGCCCAAAATGAAACTTTGTGAGCCAAAACAATAAAAAAAAAGATTGAATGATCATTTTAATAAACATTGAAGGGGTAATTTTAGCATTATTCCAAAATATATTTGAGACATGGTTTACTCTCTAAGTCTCTCAAAGATCTTTATACCTTTCTCTTTTGTTTTAAAAATAATTTTTGTCGTATGTCGACTTTCAGAAAATTTATTACGAGACAAATGCAACAGCTGATTTCATACTAAAAATGGTTTGACCACTTTTATTATTCAAAAAATATATATTCACTAAAATTTAAGGTAAATTATGTAAATGATCTTCTAATTATAGGGTATTGTTTTGTTGAGTCCCACAATTGTAAAGTATTATTTTGTTGACTCCCTCAATTGTAGAGTATTATTTTGTTGAGTCTCCAACTATTAAAAGTTACAAATGGTCACCTGACTATTCAAACGTTTCAAACTCATCATTTTCCGTTAAAAATTTGACGATTGTTTGAACTGGACGTTAACATGTTAACTGGGATATGATAAAATCTGATCACAAAATTGTCTGAGCTACATTTTGTGGATCGACTCGCTGTTTATATTATGTCATCGAGCTAGTTCTTGAAATATTATGTTGTCGAGTCAATGCTTGAAAGCAACAACGATGTCGTAAAATTTTTAACGAAAAAGTATGATTTTGTAACTTTTAATAGTAAGGGACTCAAAAAAATAATGCCATATAATCGAAGTGTCATTTTATAACTTTTAATAGTTGAGGACTCAACAGAGCTACGCCTTATAATTGGATATCACTTGTGTACTTTACCCTAAAATTCAATATAATAAAATATATTTTACCTTAATTTTTCAAATAATCTAATATGTGAATATTTATTTTCAAAATTAATTATAAATTTCTAGTTAAAAACAATATTTCACATGAATTTCTAAACTTAGAGAGATTTGAGGAGGAGGAGGAGGAGGAGGAGGAGGAGGAGGAGGAGGAGGAGGAGGAGGAGGAGGAGGTGGATACCTAAAAATAGTGGCATCAACCCCATGCAAAAGGAATCATATTTTTAAGTATAAACTTTAAAACCAAACTTTTATTAACAACGATAATTTTTTTGAAGTTAAATTGTGTAACATCCCAAATTTTCTAACGAACGAAAGGTGTCATCAATCAATAAATATTGACGCTCTGAACCATCACTGATGAGTTATGAGTCTTGAATTTGTATTAAATTTTAGGTCATAAAATTTATTGAGAATTGAGACTCAACTGCATTGGATTAAGGTGTGAAGGACCAAATTACAAAGAAAAATAAACTATTTAACCAAATTGAGACATCATATCATAAGTATAAATACTTAATATAAGAGTATTAATATCTTTCAGGTGGCATTAATACCCCTTGTAAGTTATTAATGCTTAAATTCGTTTTCTTGACAATCATATCATCAAAACTAGATGAAATATTTATAATTTTCGTAGATTATTGATATTTGAACTGAAGTATCAATATTCGAATTTCGATATCGATACATTCGAAGTGAAGTGAATATAACCCGTTGATTATGTTGAAATCTTATGACATAATATGAACTTTTCATACCTCAAAGTGATACTACAATGTTTGTCGAGACAGTATTTCGTCCGGCGAAAATAAGTGTCGTTGCTTTCTAAATCTCGTTTCGAAAAAGTAAATGTTTTTCTTCTGGTATAAGATAAAACATAATTTGTGGAGTCGCCACCAATAATTTTATTAAGGTGTGATTGGTCACCAAAAATGTTATGTTATTTTAATAAAATTTATAAAAATAATATTAAAATAACACAAAAAGGGTCTGTTTACCAGAAAATGAGTTCGGGAGTCGGTTACGTGTAGGGAAGGATTAGCACCCCCACAACGCCCAAAATTGGTACCTTATTTATTAATTAATGTCTTTGCAATAAATTAACAAATTTATATTTAATTTCAATTTATAATCCCATTATTCCATATTTAATCACATAATTATATTTAAAGAAAATTCTAAGTAAAAATAGAAAATATTCTAATATTTTCAATCGAAGAGAAACTATTCCCTAAAATGTTTTAGGACGAATATTTCTTTTTCTGATCAAAATAATGAAAAAGTGATAATTCTTCCAAAGAAATAATATTAAAATAATTTGATATGACCAAAAATAAAATAAATATATTTTTAAGTTTTTTTAAGTAATATATTATGATTATTTAAAAAATATGTTAATGAATAAAATAATATAAAAAGCGTTATTTATTAATTATTAAAATAAAAAATGTTTATTAAAAATATTAATTAACATAATATATTTTGAAAATTAATATTATAATTACTTAAGGAATAAAATATATATATAAAAAACATTATTATATATTAAAACCAATAATCATGAGATTAGTATTTAAAAATAATAAAACAAAAGTTAGTGCTCTTATTAATTTAATTGAAAATGAAAACATGACAAAAATTAGTGGAATATATTATAATGCTTCTAACTTTTTATTAATTTTAATAATAATAGCACTATGGATTTTTATTATTATTTTAATTAGTCATCATTTTTATTATATTTTAAACATTATTATACATTATTAGGATATATATGTGATAAAAATAATAAATAAGTATTAAATTCGAAATAAAAAATAAATAATAACCTAAATAATAATATATGAAAAAATAATATAAATTATTAATCAATATTCGAAATATTATAAAATATATATATTAAAAGTCCTAAAATATTATTTAAATATATGTAAATATACGGATAGTGACTAAATGAAAATAAATAAAAGGTGGAGACAAAATTAAAAGCTATAGAAACCTGATTTGGTGACTATAATAGAAGATTATAAAATACAGGGACTATGGACGTGATTTAACAATCTTGAAATTGCACACACACTCCCTTACCAAAATGACGTAGTTTTGATAAATGTATAAATACCCCAATTTTGACTCAAGATAAGAAATTCTTATCATTTTCTCAATTTTGCTTCTCTTTCTAAAGAGAGAGAAGCTCTCACTTCTCTCTAAATTCTCTCACCGGAGGGAGCTCCGGTCACCGCCCGACCACCACCAGACACTATTCTGGCCATTATTCACGGTGGTCGAAAAAAATAAAAATAGCTCAAATCGTAAATCGGTTCACCCTAGACCCGAAACTATCATCCTTTTTTCCTAAAAAACTTCAAAACGACCTAGATCTAAGATTTTACCTTCGGTAAAACAACTTTTCCGACGACGTTTGGGCTTCGACGAAGGTAAGATCTCCTTTCTTTTCTTCTCCTTCTGGTTTGTTTGTTGCTTGTTGGTGTTGTTTGCTCTCTTCCCGTTCTTCCCATTTTTTTCTTCCCCCTTTTTTGTAGGTTTTTCAAGGCTTTTTATAGGCCTCGGAAGGCCTTGGACCACCGTTCATTTTGGTGAGTCATCGGATCTACTATGGTGACTCACCATAGGGAGCGAGGTGTGCGGCTCTCCTACATCTTCTGGAGTCATCTGGTGAGATCTGATGGTCACAGTGGCGGTGGTGAGGTGTCACTGGAGGCGTCGTCATCGTAGTGGCAGTCACCGATTGGGGCACCTGGAAGCGGCAGCCGGGATAGCTTTAGGGTTGGTGAACCCTAAAGTTTTTCCTAGATTAGATCTGAAAACGGGCCTCTGTATTTGTAAACGGGCCTCTGGGATTGGGCCTTTATTTTTATTATATTATTTGTAATAATAATATAATTATTATAATAATAATAGCATAAAAATACGGGATGAAAATGACTGTCGACAACTACCCCTCTGTGCTCATTTTTGTGTTAACAAGAATAGAGCAAAGATAAAAAGACAAGGAATTTTCGTCTAGTTGACTTCATGTTTTGATGGGAAATTCGTTCCATTTTTAATGAGAGAGATCCAACTGGTGTATGACACTGTTCCTTCATGATGAGGACGTCTGATCATTTTTGAAGATATTTGATATAACACAGTTCCTTCGTGATGAGGACATCTGGTTATCTGAGGATGACTCGGTTCCTACGTGATGAGGAGTTCTGGTCAGTGGATAACATTGTTCTTTCGTGATGAGGATGTCTGGTCATCTTTAAATATATTTGAGATAACACGGTTCCTTCGTGATGAGTATATCTGGCTATCTAAGAATGATGTTGCTCCTTCATGATGAGGAGTTCTGATCGCTGGATGACATTGTTCCTTCGTGATGAGGACATCTGGTTATCTAAGGATGATGTGACTCCTTCGTGATGAGGAGTTCTGATTGGTGGATGATTTTGTTCCTTCGTGATGAGGACGTTTGGTCATCTTTAAAGATTTTTTAGATAACACGGTTCCTTCATGATGAGGACATCTGGTTATCTAAGGATGATGTGACTCCTTCGTGATGAGGAGTTCTGATTGGTGGATGACATTGTTCCTTCGTGATGAGGACGTCTGGTCATCTTTAA